AAAAAAAAAAAAAAAAAGAAAAGAAAAGAAAAGGAGGAGGCTCCCCTGACCCCCTGCCCTCCTCGGGCTGTTGCTCTTTATGAGACACAGATTTCTGCAGAGCTGCTCTCTCTCCAAGGCCTGGTTCTCCGAAACCCACGTGATCTGCGTTCACAGCAAGGTCCCCCTCCTCGCGGGGCCTCCACGGACACTCCTCACTGCCCAGCCCCCCGCACGGCCAACGCCACCTCCACGAGCTCTCTCCCCGGGCCGTGGGGCTGCGAGCTTGTTTTCCTCCTGCCTCTCGGGCTACTCCAGAGTGAGCCTGCGTGTTTCTCTTCCTGCGCCGCTCCTGTAAAATGTCCTGTCACTCCAGGCTCTAGGCTTGGCCTCTTCCTGGGTGACGCTGTGCATTCCTTGCCTGCAGGTGCCGTTTTCGTATCGCTGACACGTGAAATATTTTGTAGGGCAGTGGCCAAAGCCAGTTATGCTGGTTAAGGAGGAAAAGATATATCCAAATATGATATTATCATCATTTCCAAAATCACATGATAACAGCACGGAACTAAATAACAGTAATACCTTTGAGCCTCAAGGCTTCTCCCTTCCACTGAGCTCACAACATATCACATATATGTCTCTTCGTTATCCTTACAATGTCCCTTGAAGAAAGACAAAGCTGGTAGATACTCCTAGGTTAACTTTATTAAAGATGGAGGAACTTAGGATAAGAGTCTGATCATCCAAACAATATCTTGAAGAAGACATCACGTGGAAGGAACAGCAATGTCCAAAGTATTTTCTTCAGGTCTATCCAGGAGACAGGACCTACCTAAGAGCCAGGAAGTGGCCACACTTCCTACACCCTAGTGTCTACAAGCCCAGCGTCCGCCAGTTGTGAACGTGAGCCACAGCAAAGCTAAGCAGGGTGAGTGAGACCAAGGGAAGTCCTCTCTCCTTCAGAAAGAAGTAAAAGAAGAATCGTGGAACAAAGGCTGGGCTGTTATTTTTATACTCCCAAAACGACGAAAAACAAAAATCGGTCTCTTTCCACAGCACCCATATGAAAAGGATATCCATGTACTACAGAATAGAGGAATGGAGGACGGGTGAGTGAATAAAGAAATTACAGAGTCTAGAGTAAGCCTGCTAGGGCTGACAGTGTCATCACTTTCACCGGATCCGACCCAGGCATCAGCCAACTCCAATCTGTGCCCAAGCGGCCCTCCTGGAGGGAAGGCACTGGAGTTGGCATAGCGGCCTCTGCAACTGAGCCCCAGATTTGACCCAGCAGACCCACTGGCCAGAGAGAGACTCTGCCCTCCTCCTTCCTGCACTGATCCACGTGCAGCCCGTTCAAATCTGACCACTCGCTTCAAACAAACTGCATCTCCCATGACAAAGGCTTTCAGCCAAGGGTATATGTGGTTCATTGCACCCCTTGACTAGAATCATCAAAGTGTTTCATCCTTAAAAAAACCAACCAAGAAAACAAAACAAAAAAACCCCATTATTCTACCTACTGGTGTATCTCCAGCGTTGGGAACTAGGAAACGAGTGAATTCAAGGAGAAGAGAATGAGATGAACCTATTTACGGGGCAGGAATAGAGATGTAGATGTGTAGAGAATGGACATGTGGACACAGCGGGGGAAGGGGAGGGTGGGATGAATTGGGAGGTCAGGTTTGACATAAATACACTACCATGTGTAAAACAGCTAGCTAGTGGGAACCTGCTGTATAGCACAGGGAGCTCAGCTTGGTGCTCTGTGGTAACCTAGATGGGCGGGATGGGTGCGGGGGAGAGGTCCAAGAGGGAGAGGATATATGTATACATATAGCTGACTCACTTCACTGTACAGCAGAAACTAACACAACACTGTAAAACAACTATACTCCAATGGAAAAAAAAAAAAAGAGAGAGAGAGAGAGAGAATGAGGAACCTGTTACCTGTCTTTTGGATAAAGTTATCATGTTCTCCATGTTGAAAAAATACTGTCCTCCTCAAATAGCAGAACTACAATTCACTTTAGTCCAAAAGCATTTCTGAATGCCTCCTGAATGCCCTTGTGTCAGATACTGGGAAGATCATTAGGGCTGCAACCAGCCTATTCTGCTGCTGAGAAGCTAACAGTCTAAGGGACCAGGGGCAGGAGAGGAAGGGGCCCTTCTAAGCAGAGAATGCTAACATCCTGCGGTCCGGCATATGCGGAAGGAGCCAGGACTGCGTCCTGCAAGAGCACTGCTTTGAGCGGGGTCTTGAGAAAGGGGCAGGTGGGGGAGAGGAGAGGGAAGGGAAGAGGGAGGACCCAGAAGTCCAAGATACGTAAATTACTAGTAAGCGGCCTTTGAGAGTACTGGGAGGACGTGACCTTTGTCCTCACCGCACCATCTTCCTTCTTTAGCCACCTGGAATTCCACACTCAAAGTTTCATTCTTTGGCTTTGCTCCGCTGCTAAACTAGCTTGCCCTAAATAAGTTTACCTGATCCCTTCCTGAAAGCAGGCTCGGCCGGGAGCGAGTAAGTGAAGGACGGACGCAGGGGAGAATGAAAGGAGACTCGCAGACTCGCTCGCCCTTTCCTTGCAGTTTGCATCAGGGCTGGCCTCGATCAGCTGGACCACAGAGGAGACCGTCTTTTCAGGCCTGGGACGCGGACAGTCCTGGGGTGCCGTGCTCACCCGCCCCCGGGGTGGGGGCTGCGGTCACAGGGGCCCACGGGAAGAAGAGGCGCCAAAGGAAGAGGGGACGAGTGTTCCGCAGACACGCTCCGCTCTCCCGAGCAGCGACTGTGTATAATTAAGGAAACGTAATCAAGCGCTCCAAAACGATAACAACTGCTTTAAATTGAATGGGTCAAACCAATTTTAACGCCTCGTTATTTTTAAAGCAAATACTAAAAGATCAGCAGTCGCTCCTTAAATCAGGGAAAAGCAAGGTTGTTGAAGTTTACTTGCAAATTCCTTCCTTGGTCTGCAGTCAAGAGCCAGCGGACTGGAGGGCAGAAAGGTGGTCAGGGAGTGAGCGGGTGATAGAGGCAAGTCAGGCTGAGAAGATGGGGCTGGAGACAGAGATTGGGGAGGAAGCAAGGATGCTCCCAACTGGGGTCCATCAAGGCCCCGAGCTGTTGTAGCCATGGTGCTGGTGATGGTGGTGACTGTGGTGATGGTGACGGTGGTGCTGCTGGTGACTGATGGTGACGGCAGTGATGATGACGGTGGTGACGATGGCGACTGTGGTCGTGGTGACGGTGGTGGTGGTGAGGCTGGTGGTTAAAGACCTGCTGGGGAGTGAGGACTGGCCAACAGCGCATACAACGAACCCTTAAATCCTAAAGAACATTACTAGGACCCTGCTCACTTAACACCAGGCTTTTCTCTTTGAGTCACTGAATTCCAGTTCCCATGCCTGTTCACTCGGTTTTCCCCCAACAGCTTTTGCCTCTGGCTCACCACGAGCTTTGGAAGCATCACCCCCTTGATTACTTCCACCAGGGACATCTTGAAAAGGTCAGCCCAACCTTACTTGTTTGTCTCTGACCACAAAGGCTGTCGCAATCTTAATTCAATCGTGAAACTCAGAGCATTTACAGATCTCTGCCTTAGGGCTGCCGATCTGTTCTACAAGAATGGGAACAGAATTGAGGCTGGTTTGTGCCATAATCACTTCTCCTGTACCACAGCTTTTGTGAAACTAGGAAACTGAAGGGAGTCATAAAGTAACAGACGCCCACAGAAAAATTTAGCCAGTAAATATTCCAATGAAAACTAGCCTTTTGGGATGATCTATACCATCATCTCAGACCCATCAGGCCCATATTAAATTTTGCTGATACCAATTTCCC